ACCCCAACCCACCACACCCCCACCCACCCCACCCTCATCCTCACCAAACCAGCAAGCAGACAGATTCTGTACATCCCACATTTCCAACCGTTATCTCTTCAATGTATTTTATTCGCACGGTCTTCACAGATCAAACCACACCGATCATCCACTGTAGTCTACCATCTCGGTCGAACCTGCTCCAAAGACCACCTGTACAAGACGGCCGACTGGACACTAAATGACCACTTCCCACCCCCACCCTTGGCATTTCTTTCTTCTTTTTTTCTATTTCATAATGCCAGCGCCCAAAACGTCCACCTGTCCAGTACAAACAACCACTTTTCTCCTCGGCAATGGCTGGTCGTTTTGGACGACTTCCACTCTACTGTCAGACTGGGCGCACATTTTCCGGTCCCTTCCAAGTCCCAACTTCTGAACACCCAACGCCACCCCCCGGGGGTAGTGCCACTGACTGTAGCGTCTTTAGGCCATTCCCATTGGGGGCGGGGCATTTCTCGTTCAAGCACAGTAGAATTGTAAATGGGCGGATTCATCATGTCACGCTCATAACTGTGCCTGATCTACAACAGGGAACTGCTGCTTTTTCTTTCCTAATCCTTACTATTGTCATTTTCTTCCACTTCTTTTGTATGTTTGTCACACTCTTGTGACCCGATATTTCCGGGGTGCCTTGATAGTAGAAGCAGACTTTGTGCTGTTGAAGCTAGAGAGGTGAGCAGAGTAAGCCTGATGCCCTGTAAGGACTTCTGTGTTGACACCCACCCCTTGGCGCTCATATGACCTTATGCAGTTGCGAGCGCCGTAAAACCCTCTACTATTAAAAAACAACAACACAACAGGCTGACAGAGCTGAAAGTGTTTTGAATTTCTCTTTTTTTATAATGAGAGGAGGATTGAAATAACAGATGGAAAAGTAAAACAAAACAAACAAGCAAACAAAAAAAGGAATTAAACAACATTGAAGCAGGCAACAAGCTGGATCTATCGGTAACAAACGTGTGTGTGTGTGTGTGTGTGTGTGTGTGTGTGTGTGTGTGTGTGTGTGTGTATGTGTGGGCGGGGAAGGGCGGGGAGGGGGTTGTTGAAGCGCCGTTATTCCTTCAGATTTACCACCACAGATGAGAACCAATGTGAACAGACGGATTCCCAAAGATGAAACAAATAAATAAATAAAGGATAAAAAAACCGACAAAAGTTATTATTATTCACCCCCGTTGTCTTCTTGATTTAATTATAACTTTTTTTTTTAGTTTTGTATTAATTTGTTTGTTTTTTGTGTGGGACGGCGTCTTTGTTTTGTCTTTGTCTTCTCTCTTTCTATTTGTTTTCGTTTTATTTGTCCCCCTCTGTTTGGATTTGAGGGTTTTTTGGGGTTTTTTTTCTTTCTTCTGTTAGTTTTGAAGTGCAGAGCTTTCCAGCTTGGGCCAATGGCCGATTTGATGATTCTGGTGGGCGGGGGGTCCCCCGGGTGGTGACACGTACTAGTGACGTGGATATAGGATTATAATTATATAATGACATAACCTACATGTG